TATAGACGCGTATAACGTATAATATAAACACGTATTAACTGCTCCTTTTTTATGTTTCGTAATTAATTTTAACTGATAGCAGACAATCCGTCCAAAATTGCTCAACTCATATTTCACGGTTCTTTTACAATGATTATAAGTTTAATCATGAACATGTCCTCCAGACCAAATTCCGATTACGGCTGTCAGTCTTAACGGAGACTAGCGATCTGCACAGAACACAGGTGCACTCTCAGTTTCCTGACTCATGGTTTGATGGGACGGTAATCCGACCCGTCCGGAGAGATATAACACCAAAAGCATTACGTGCTTTCTGAGGCACTGTGGTGAAACACCATTAACTTCCAGAGTCTGGGCTACTACTAAGAATTTCTTCACAGAAAAATGCTTAGTTACGCAATGTACACATTGTAAATTATTGTATTTCTGCAGGTAATGAACAAGTGCTCGAAACCAGGGACACTGTATTCGATAGACTCGACAAGTGAAAATGCCGGAATCCCTTACGCAGACTACTTCAGCGTAGAAGTTCACTACTGCCTCCAGCGAGTAGCAGAAGCCTCCACGCATCTTTCCCTCTACGGACACGTGCGGTATAAGAAAAGCATGTGGCCAATGGTCAAAAGTAAGGAATCATGCTATCATAGCCCTTTGGTCCTAAAAACGCTTCTTTTAACTTTCAGGTTATGAGACAAAAATATTATACTGGCTAACGTAGCTCCACTACGTAAAGCCTACCTCATAAGATTGCAGGCGTAAAAGTTAACGCATTATGTACAAAGACTTCTATGTATAGTACTAAGCCGGCAATTCAGAACTAAATCTGTGAGCGAGTAGCTGCCACGGTAAATATGCCACACAGTTGTATATTCATTTACGGCAATTTCTGTTTTTAGGCAAATACGAAATTAAGTTACATAATTATTTTAAATAAACTTCAAATCATGTTGAAAAAGTGCACAGATAAATAGTGACAGCATTTTCTTAGTCACATTAAAAAAAATTAGTATTAGATTATCAAAAACAACGTTCGCAGTTTACAACACAAAGAACTAGTCTTCACGTCCACCTGCAATCGACTAAAGATGTTAAGGCCGATTTACACTTCGACAAATACATTAGCGAGGTAACTTGCGAACCTGGCGAGTTAATTCTACGACCTTAGTACGCAATGTATCAGTTCTGGGTGTGTAGTGCCCGTCTAGTATTACACATAGAAGTTTTTGTCGATATCACTATTTCTATATGCGAAATGAAAAAATGTACAACGTACGAAGTATATGTGTCATATGCCGAAATACTCAAACACTGCTCAATTTATAAAATTACTTGCAAAAAAAATAATCACTTGCGCTCTAAAACATTCAGAGCCCCATTGCAATTTACTCGGAAAATAGATTAAAAACTAGTGTATACACAAAATCTCTTGTCCAAAAAATAATATGCCCCGAACAATTAAAATTACATGTATGAGGACTACGCAAAACTTAACATGAAGGCGTTATTATCAGCACTGAAATAAAGGACGACATTGAGAAGCTAAAAACCTACCCAGCTAATAGTTCCGGTCTGAAGGTGGAAGAGCTAAGCTTTTTGTCATTTCTAACGAAGAAACGAACGAAACATTTTATAAAAGACCAAAGTGACTATTTCACACCTACACTAAAATAAAAATAAAACAATAGCGAAAAATGTCATTAAAGTAGTGATCATTAATGTGCGTCTTATGCACAAGAAATTAAAATATAAATACTCGTACATTCATGGTTATATGGACGTCAAATCGCGGTATGAAACTTTACCGATAATCTGACGTCCACATATAGAAATATAACAAAATTCGAAAATATGGACGTCAAATATCATTCAGTATGAATGGTTTAGGATATTCGGACGTCCATATTATTATATGTAGCTAAATCTAAGGATGCGAAAACAAGTTGAAAAGTAAAATTATCTAATAGCACTGAGTACAGTATAAACCGACAAAAATACCAAAATATGCCTTGAGCACTAAATAAATAATCAACTTTTAAATGAATAGTAAAATACAATAATCAACAACAACTTTAGACATCGGATATCAAAGAAGTGGACGTCAAATAAAACTTAGTGTGAATATTTTAGGATATTCTTACGTCCGTATATGGGTAAATACTCCGTTCAATGTCCATGTCAACTAAATATAAAAAAAGACACTTAAATGCAAGCAAGCATAAGCGTGGAAAGTTCTCAGTGTGCGTAGGTCACAATACGGACGCCAATTAGAGCACGATATGCATTTTTTAGTAATATAGCGTCCAATATTTATGACAACAAACACAAACAAATTGTATTTCAACTAACCGAAAAACCAAACATAATATCATAATTTAACCAAAATAGCCTTTCACAAAAATGAACCTAGTTAAGTAGAGAGTAATTTTGTACAGATTAGGTAAATAGTTCGCACTCATCCTTAAGATAGTGATCATAAAAAGTAAACTCGCAGTGAGAGCGCCAAAACTCAATACGATCAAGTAAATAAATTATATTTTCGGAGTTATTCATGTCAGCAACAATACGCTACGGTCTATTGTAGAAATTAACAACCCATTGGCAGTTAATGCAGTAAAACCTTATATTAAAATGAGTTTCTTCCCAATGTCATATTAGGTTATTAGTCACAATATAAGAAAACGAACTTCTATTAAACCTGTCAATATCTACAATTAATACTTATTTACAATAGTAAAATAAATAATAATATAATCAATCTATAATGTATCACGGCTGGGCAATCCTAGATATTTTTTCGTATTTACTAAACGAATAACTAGTTGGTAAATTAATCATGATATCTATCTTTTTTTTTTTTTCGCCGGAGACAAAAATGATATTTCATATTTTTCGTAACTGCACATTCTGTGGATTTATTTCATTATTTTGAACAATATACGAAACTTAAGTGACTAAAATTAAATGTAATCTGAACCAGAATCATAAAAACTGTATTATTCGTGCTAAACGAATCTAATAAAGATCTGTTATTTTTGTCTCCTGCGAAAAAAACAGACTATAGGAATCTATCGAATACCTACATAAACAAAATATCACGTATGAATAAAATATACTATCCTTCTCTCAAGTTGGACCAAACTTCACACTGTGAAAAATTATATTAAAATCGTTCAGTAGTTTGGGAGGTTTATCGCGGAAAAACAACGTGACACGTAATTAATATATATATATATATATATATATATATATATATATATATATATATATATATATATATATATATATATATATGTGTGTGTGTGTGTGTGTGTGTGTGTGTGTGACGAGTGCGTGCGTGCGTGCGTGAGTGAGTGCGTGTGTGCGTGCGTGCGTGCGTGCGTGTGTGTACTGGGGAACAAAAAAGTTTCCTTCCAGTTATAGGCTTATCTCAACTTTCAATAAATTAATGAATTATTGTAGTTTTTTTGTAGTTTAAGAACTTTATTTCTCATTAAGAATTAACAATAATTCGCTTACTAAGAAACTAAATTTAACAAAACATACTTCTATTGAGCCTACAGTTGAATATTAATATAATAAGATACAATTTAAGATTTAGGTAGTCTTCGAATCTTACAACAATTAATAAATTTATAACACCAACTGAGCAAACACGGATGTTGATTAATATAAACAAATGTTGATTACAATCAACATCCAGTTTTTATATGGATTCGAAGACTACCTATCTAAATTGTTCTTAATACAATAGGCTAGAAGTATCAAGTACAAAGTAAATCCATATTATCGAATATACAATATGGTTTCAGACCAAAACTGTCCACTGCTGATGCTGTGCAGGAATTGACCGATAACGTCTCTCAAGAATTAGATAAAGGCAACCAATCTATTGGCATTTTCCTTGATCTAGCAAAAACTTTCGATACAGTATCTATTATTTTTATTTCGATACAGAATATATTTACCAGTTAAATAAGCTAGAGAGCATAGGTATTCGAAGTAAACAGCTTCAACTTTTTGCGAACTATTTAGACAATTTATGTCAAAGCTTAAAAATCGAAAAGATTATTAGCTGAATAAAAAAAAACTCATATTGTTGTGCCTCAAGGCAGTATATTAGGGCCAACTATTTTTGATATAATATATCGATGACCTTTGCAGTCTCGAACTTAATATCTTACGCAGATCATGCCGTGATCCTTTTTTCTGCAAATACAGTAGATACAGTTTATTAATGTGCACAGCAGGATTTTGGTAGGGTCAATAAATGGCTCCAACAAAATATATTAACACTGAATGCGGACAATACCAAATATATTCATTTTTCTATGGACAGCTCAACCCAGCATTCTATATATCATTCATTCATTATAATTTCAGAAATTTATGCACACCAATGTTGCTTATTCGCAGAGTCTAAATGTAACTGCCCATTTATTTTACTGTTACCAAAACTATTAAATATCTTATAATAATTAAAGATTTTATGTTTACATTTAAAAACCACATAGACCATCTGTACAATAGAGTCCGTAAATTATTTTTTGTTTTCAAAAATATTCGTACTTTTGCTGATATTAATATAGTAAGGAAAGTGTATTTCGCATTATGTCAATCAATTCTCACCTATTGTATAACCTCATGAGGGGGGGGGGATAGTAAAGAGACTACACTTATTCCCGTCACAATTGTAACATAACTCCTGTAATGTTCTCTCTGCGCGTCAGTTATTCGTTATCAGTACGTTAATAAAACAGCACTTAAAATTGCCCTACAGAAGAGAGTTCTCTGATAAAAGAGGCAAAGATAAAGTAAGTAAAACTTCTTTCATAGATTTCTTACATTCCTTGACCCTTTCCTGTATAATAAAGTCAATGCAATTTTGTACATATACATGTAATGCCGTTAAAAATGGCAGATTGCAAAGTAAATTAATGATAATATATTTTACCGAAAGTAGCCATATATATCAGAAACCATAATTGGGCACAAAATATTTATTAGTAAGTATATCTATTAGCACATACACCTGATATACAGGTTTATCCTAGTTCAGGTACCTGTTATTGTAGACTATATTTAATTAAGATATTGTTTTAATTAATTGTACTGTTTACTGAAACAAAAATTATTATTTAAAAAAAAAGATATGTTACAAGGAATATTCGCTTTATGTCTTTATTTTTTATTTTAAGTGGATGCTGTGGTCCATAGACATCTACATTTTTCCTCGATAGAGAATCAAAACGCAGATGCGTTGTCTCCCCTAAGGACTAAGATGGAATGCCTCGTTTCCAGTAAAAAAGGGTCTCCGTATCTCTACACTCACCATACGACGTTTATGTGTGGTAGAGCCATGCTGCAGTTATATCAATAGTATAGTTGTAGCACGAATGGGGTTGGCTCTACCGGGGAAGGATCACGTTCTCACAGAATACCAGCGTAAAATAGTAGCTTAATGCTGCTATGCTTTGTATGGTGAGTGTAGAGAACCAGAGACTCTTTTTATTGGAAACGAGGCAATCCATCTTAGTCCTCACGGATGACAACGAGTCTGCATTTTGATTTGTAATCGAGGATAGATGTAGATCGAATAATCATAGAATTGAGGATGATGTCTATGGGCCGCAGCAACCACTTACCATCAGGTGGACTGTGTGCTCGTTTGTCACCCTATACCTATAAAAAAATACGAAACAGCAGTATTAACCTGCTATTTTACGCTAGTATTCTATGAGAGCGTGGTCCTTCCCCGGTCGAGCCGACCCATTCGTGCTACAACCATAATATAGCTGCAGCGTGGCTCTACCACGTATAAAAATCTTTATTACTTTAAGTCAAAGTAATTCAGAGTGCGTTTGTTTGTGTAACTGCGATTCGTTCGACTCGCGATCGTGACCGAGCGCTCCCGAGGTGTACGCCACAACACAAAACACAACAAAATCCTCCAACGGGACAACCAGTGAAAGATTCATATAAAAACTTACCAATCGTGAATTTTTAATAACTGTATAACACGTATTACTTAAAACTAATATTGCACAAAAAAAACCACCAAACAACAAACAACCCCTCACTTTACCTTGTCCTGCACCTTTTTCTGCCAAACGCACCCAATGTGTACGTGCACGGCTAACAACAACCAAAGTCAAACCTTCATCGAACTAGAAGTGTTTGATTATGTAAATTGATTGTTTGCAGCATTATTAGAGAACAACACGATGTCGGGTTTGGAGGAGTTCGCGAGGTTGCTGGAGACGCGGCTGCTGGCCTCCGCGCCGGATCCCACGCGACCCACCAGACGCCGGAGAAGACATCTGGGTAGGATTCTGCATTGTATTGTCTGCTATATCTTATCGGTGTAGTGTAACACAGGCTCGGCACGCACTTTTATAAAACATAACCACTCGTGTAACTGACGCGTTGCGGTCGAGACTGTGAGTTGTACGTAGGTATATATGTGTGTATTAGTGTATAATAAATTATTAGTAAATGAAACAAACCATAATAATATTTACTGTTTGTATATACAGGTGTCCCGAAACTAGCATGTACTGTGATCACAAATTTCTAAGTTTTTCAGTGTTTTTTTTTTTTTTTTTAATATAATCCTAAATAACTATTCCTTTTATTGGAGTCACAAATCTAATAACTGATATTGTGAGTTTAGTACAAAAAAAAAAACAAAGTTTATTAAAGTCATGGCTAAAAAGATTTAACACCTAACTTTGACGCCTTGTCTTTAAATAAAAGTATTATACTACCATAGGCAAAATGTTTTGAATAATGTCCCATTTAATTTGGATTTTAAAAATGGTGAAAGACTTGCTACTTATCTTTCCATAAAAAATATTATTGCATATTTACTTTCAAGAGGACTTAATTACAAACAAACTTTTTAACCTGAATAGTAATGTAAAGGATTTGCGTTATTATTGTGTAAGCGAGACAGACGGATGTGATAGAGCAGAGTAAAAAAAACACTGAAAATTTTAGAAATTTGTGGTCATGGTACCAAAATATGTGATCTAGGGTCTATAACATTTTCAAGATTTAAAAGTATACCTATTATCACTTAACCATGTAACATGATTTTTTTTTTGCTGGAACTGGTACAACCTATATAGCTTAGAGTTTCGGGGCCCCTAGGTAGTAGATACAGAGATACTATTGAAATTTATTTTAGTTATTCTTTTCGCAATGTAGACTCACAAAAAACGAATTTTACACCTATATATACAATATTACACCTATTTATTATTACAAATATTACACCTATATACTTTTATTTAAAAGGAGAATCTATCCCATATCGTCCTGTGGGTGTCGTAAGAGGTGATAGAGAGCAACAGGAACAAATGGGCAACGGCGTTTCCTGATAGTAAAAAATTTAAAAAAAACTGCGTTCGTGAAGCGTTGCAACTATGGCAAATATCCTTTTAATGCGGCGGTCTATGAAGATGGCCAATGTTTAGCTGTGTTCATAGATAGGTTGTATTTAATTAATTGGATGACGTAAATAACATTCTTCCTTTATTATAAAAACGTTACTATCATGCTTGGATTTTCTCCTGTATCATGACTTTCTCCTGTATAGTAGTAGTTTACTTACATAAATTGCACGAAGACAAACATACAGTACCGGGACTATTATTTGTAGGCCATACAAAAACTTGGTTCGAGCGGGATTCGAACCCGCTGCCTCTAGCGCTACAACTCATCGCTAAGCTTCTGAGCGGAGCCGTCAAAACACGTGTATGATCAGATCATTTACATTTGTAAATCCTTACTTAATTGGATTTAGCTCGTGAGGGCTGACAATTTTGCTTTTACCAAGTGCTTTGCAAAAAAATCATACACTACTTTGGTTTTCGGTGAAGATCAACTGAAAATCAGGATGGTAAGTGGAAATTGCGGCCACTTGCTGGTATGTAGGTCCATAGACATCTATATTTATTCATTTTGACAGACATTTTGTCTCCTCTGAGGACTAAAATGGAATGCCTCGTTTCCATTAAAAGGGTCTCGGGTTCTCTACACTCACCATACAAACACAGAAGCATTGAGTTGCTATTTACGCTGGCATTCTGTGAAAGCGTGGTCCTTCCCCGGTCGAGCTGTCTAACGGTACTGCTCCCGAGACGTGAGTATAGTGTAGCAAAGCTATGGAGAGGTCTCCGTTGCGTTTCAAAAAGAGATCCTAAGGTGCGCTGATGGTGACCACTGTGAAGTTTCGGCATGGAGTCCCGCACAACCAACAATAAGGATTTCCCCACGCAAAAAGCATCAGCATGGCCACAAAAATAACGACCTGGTAACAGATGCAGGAAGTCGATTGATGCAGGTGGCTCAGGACCGTGCTTTGTGGCATTACTTGGGGGAGGCCTATGTTCAGCAGTGGACTTGTGAAGGCCTGGCTGTATTGATGATGATAATACTTGTAAGTGTGTGTGTGCATATGCACACATATGTAAGGTGTGAAGATGTGCGCAGGCGCCGTGGCGCGAAGTGCATCGAACGCGGTGGAGGGGGTTGCCGGTGTGGGAGTGGGAGGGCGCGCGCTGGTCGCGGTCACGGTGACTGGCACGTCCGTGGGCGCGGGCAGCGCGTGGCCCAGCCGTGGGCTGTACATGCTGCTGCTGGCGCTGCTGCTGCTCAACGCGCTGCTGTACTGGCGGCTCGCCGTGCTGCAGGACTCGCAGCTCCACGCAGAACACCTGCAATCCAGGTTTGTCGCTCGCAAGAAGATCTTTACCCTTCTTCTTTCCTTATGGTCTTCCAAAATTTATATATAACTAGCGATCGGCCCCAGCTTCGCACGGGTCGTATAGTAGAATAATTTTTCGATAAAATATGTAAAATTGGCTTTACTCGAGGATGTTCGTGTCAAAAGAAATAAAAATAAACAGTTTTGTGAGACACAATAGTTATCAATGTTTTGTCGCATTTATTCACTTATTTTATATCCTCGACATGTCGAGTACTTCACAGCACCCGTGGTAAGGGCTTGGACTGAGCTGTTCGACGTCCTATTGTCATAGTTAACTACGGCTACCTTTAGTTTTTCGGTCCGATTTACGCAAATTGAGCTTAAAGTAACTTGAAGTCTTGCACAATTCCAAGCAGGTGTTGGCACTCAGCCGTCTTTTCTATTGAAATTAGGATGTATTTTGATTAGTTTGTTTTACTATGCTACACTTTTAAGCGAGTTTACATAAAAACATACTTCAAACCGCCGAAAAAGATTATTCAGTTAAAGTACAAGCTTGATTGTGAATGTGGTCTCTCTTACATTTGATAAACTACAAGATTAATAGTACCCGCGTAAAACAACTCATAGCTGATGTCAAGAATCGACGCTCCACAAAGTCTGGAGTCTGTGAACTTATACAAGATCGTCTCCGCCACTACATCAGATTTGATAGACACAACGGTTCCTTCCATGAATTATTCGCGAGGCTATTAAAATCAAAAAACATCCCAATATCCATAGAGACGATGGCTGGATGCCTCATCTATTGGATTATTTAAATGTGTAGCGTCCGCGTAATCATAAGAAACCATTAGTTACTAATTAATGTTGTAGTCATCATGAAAGTTTATTATTAAGTACGTATGTAAATTAGAGATTTATCACCAAAATCGTAAAATCACATTTTTAAATTGTACGACATTGTACAAAGAAATAATTAAAAAATAAAAATATAAATTTCTTTGCAACCTTCCGCAAAGAAATTTATATTTTTTTATAAATTTATAAATTTTTATTTTTAGTTTTTATTATAATGGATTTCCGCAAAGTAACGCCTGCTTCTATCAATTATAAAGAAATAATTTACTCGGAATACCACAAACCCCTGGTTTATTAAAAGGTGTCTAAAAAGGGTATCGAGTATTTGATATGTAAATAAAATAAAAAAATATAGTTGTCTAGATGCCGACTATTACGCTGCTGGCACTCTAACCTCGAACGAGAATTGGTAACAATTTCATTGCGCGCGAAACTACCGCCATTTATATTGTGATATTGTGCTAGAATTGCGTCATGTTAGTCAGCTTGTTATCGTACGCCTTACTTTTCAGATATCCCCACAAGAAAAAGTCAATAGGACTGAGATCGGACTCATGTCAGGCCAGTTAATATTAACTCTACGAGAAATCACTTTATTCGGGAATAATTCGTTTGCCGCTGCAATTGCTAACTCAGAAGTGTAGCAATTGGTCTCGTCTTGCTGGAACCATGGCCTTGAGTTGTATCCTTGAAACTCTTGCAACTTGTGGTCCCGTGTACAAATATTGTCAAGCTTATAATTGAAGTGGATGGGATTCTTTTTCCTAGTAAATGAGATGATATTACATTTTCCGATGTTCAAGTTAAGATGATTTGCTTGATAATATTAATTTAGCCTACACAGATATTCTCGAAGTAGATTGCAGTCCTCTATAGTTTTAATAGACCTGATTTTTCATATCGTCTGCAAAAAGGAAAATTTTGGTATTATGGAAGCAGGATATGACATCATTTATAAATATTATAATCAGTAGTGGTGAACCAAGATGCGAACCCTGAGAAGCGCCTGAAGAAACTGGGAGAAATGACAAACAGTGTCCTTCTATTCCAACCGCCTGACTGCGATTTTTCAGATAAGAAGATATCCATCGAAGTAAATGACCATGTACAACAGACTTGATCTATTTTGTATATCACAATACCATGTGAAATTTCATCAAATACTTTTGTATAACTGGTGTACACTGCATATTTTTCATTCGAATAAATTACTTTCAATTTACCTTCAACTAACAAAACTATGTTGTTCAGGTATTATAATTGGTCGAACTATTTGAGTGTGTCATAAATAATTTTCTCAAATATTTATTATAATAGAAACGAGCTTAATTTTCAAATAGGACGGTATTTTGAAATATCGTGCTTATCACCACTTTTAAATATGAGAGTTATGAACGCTTTTTTCCATTGTAAAGGCATTTTATCTAACTTCATGGAAGTTTAAACAAAATTACTAATGTTTTCCGATGATAACTAATGGTTGAAAGTAGCTTTAACAATAATCTATCTTACTAACAGTTATTTGCACATATGACTTAGAATATAATTTTAATATAAACCAAATTTAATACAATACAATACTCTTTATTGTACACAAGAAAACAAATAACATACCAAGAAATAAACAGAGATAAAAACAAAAGGCGTTCTTATTGCCATACAGCAATTTCTTCCAGACAACCCAAATAGAAAATAAAAGGAATTGATAAGTTAATTAATGGGTAGAGTGCTCTATAAATAATATTATAATATAAAAGTATAAACCTACCGAAATTTACTTAATTGACAGACTAGTGCTCATAAAGCGACAAGAAGAGATGAAAGGAGGGGGGAAAATTTTGAAGTAAAGATAATGTTTCTTAACTTGGTTTTAAAGGAGTCTATTATTTAAGCACGTTTTAGTGTTAATGTTAAGGAGCTCCAAAGCTTCACTTCAAGAACTGAAAAAGATTTACTGTAAAAAGTAGAGGAGTGCAAGGGACATAGAAGGGAAAGGTTTTCTATGGCCCGAAGGGAACTTTTATGAGAGGAGCTGAGAAATTGGAAACGTTCTTTGAGATAGAGAAGACTTAATAGGTATATAATAAGACGCAGAAGAAAGCAGAAAGAACATGAGTATCCCGACGAAGGCGGATTGGAAGCCACGTGAGCTTAGCGCAGTTTTCTAAAACATGGTCATATTTACGAAGTCCAAATATGATTCGTATAGATAGATTTTGGAGTCTCTCAAGTTTACTAAATTGATCTTCGGTAATCTCTAGATCACTTATATCAGCATAATCGAGGATTGGAAGCAGTAAAGGACAAGCATAACTTAGAGGAGATGGGGAAAAAGTAGTTCATTCCGAAGAATTGGTTATAATTTTTCGGATTTGCAGCTTATTGTGCACTCTTGGAGTGCACAATAAGCTGCAAAGCGGAGTGCAAATATTTTATGAGACACTGCGTTGATTTGAGGAGTCTAAGAAAGGCCAGAATCTACCTATATTTCCAAGTTTTTTACTACGTCCTTATAAGGAATTTGAACACCATTAAATATTTTGTGATTTAAGTAAACTTTATTTCGACGACTCCGTGGCGCAGTGGCTTAGCAATGAGTGGCTGCGCTGGGGGTCGCGGGTTCGAATCCCGCACGGAACAAGTATTTGTATTGCCTACAAATAGTTGTTCCGGGTCTGGATGTTTGTCCTTGTGCAATTTATGTTAGTAAACTGCCCCCACGACACAGGAGAAAATCCTAGTGTAGGGGTAACGTTGTAAAAAAAAAGAAATTGGAAATTATTCTTGAATTACCAATAATTATAGATTGGGATTTTATCGGATTAACGGCTGACCCAGATCGGCTCCAGTCAAGAATACACACTGGGTCCTTGTTTATATCGCAAATTGCTTTTGGCAGATCCTCTACGGTTGTTTGTAGATATATCTGGAGATCATCAGCACACAAGTGGTAGGGAGAAGATATTTGGGAGGTAATAGAATTTATGTCTTGAGGGACAAAGAACGGTTAATGCAGAATGGTATGCTAGCATTTGTTTGCCACAGGTCGTTTCTGAACTCCGTAAAGGGATCTGCAACCGCCGCATCATCCTCCATCACGACAATGCGAGTTCTCACACCGCACACAGGACAAAAGAGTTTTTAGAGCAAGAAAACATAGAATTATTAGACCATCCCCCGTACAGCCCCGACCTAATCCCTAATGATTTCTATACTTTCCCTAAAATAAAGAATAAATTGCGTGGACAGAGATTTTCATCACCTGAAGAAGCTGTGGATGCCTACAAAACGGCCATTTTGGAGACCCCAACTTCCGAATGAAATGGTTGCTTCAATGATTGGTTCCATCGTATGGAAAAATGTGTCAAATTTCGCGGAGAATACTTCGAAAAGCAATAAATACATTTTTAAATAGTAATGTTGTGTCACTTCCTTGATTCCCGAAATTTTCAGTGCCGCCCTCGTAAATTGCGCAAGCAAGAGAGCAAGTTGAACATCAGTTCTCACACTTTTACCATTTTTAATAATTAACGCTATCCTGTTATTTGCACACAATTGGCTTATCCTCATGCTTTCCGACGTATATATATCTTTATATATTGAGATAGCAGTGAATAAACTATATATATATATATATATATAAAAAAATATATATATATATATATATATATATATATAGTTTATTCACTGCTATCCTCAAAAATTATATAGTTATACTCGTCAAATACGAGTAAATTTCGGATGCGTAACCAGGGTGAACATAACTTATAGCAATATAACGAGTGAGACCATATACAATTTCCTTTATGCAGGATGAATTCGGTGAGCGGGCCACAGATGCAGGAGTGGTCCCGCCTGCTGGAGCAGCATACGATGCGGCAGCGCTCCGAGATGCTCACATGGCGGGACGCGCTCGACCGCACCGTCGCACATCTCGCGCAGGTGACGTGCATACACACGCACACACACATATGCACACGCGCACACACACATACACACACACACGCACACACACATACACATGCACTTTCAAAGACACAGCACAGCTCCGAAATGCACACGTAGTGGGACGCGCTCGACCGTACCATCGCACATTTCGCGCAGGTGACATGTACACACACGCCCACTTACACACATGCACACACAAACAAACACCCGCGTGCGCACGCATTTCCCCGCGCGCACACACGCATTTACACACGTGCACACACCCACGCACACATGCATACCAGTAGTGGGAGGTTGACTGAAAAAGCCTAGTCCGAATTCGATAATCGGTGTTCACATAGAACATATAGAGTTTTTTTTTAACAAGAAAAATTATTGCACGTTTACGAAGTACAGTGTATTTACGTTAGAGCGCGCGCAGCCGGCATTAAGACGCTGACAAAAATATTTTGAATGACATTGTTTATGATTTGTCATTGCAGACGGAACAAGCACTAAGAAAACTATTGGAGACAGTCAAACCATCACTGGAGAAGACGGAACCAGCGGACACACAGAACAGTGAACTGTGAACACTAACGGTGAAAGTGTTGGGAACAGACGCGAGCATATAGTTGCTTCTTACATCGTGGTGGTGAGAGAGATTCATTATAACAATGAAGTTAGAGTAGTATTATGAAACGTTATTCAAAATCAACACTTGGGAGAATTAACTCGGAGTCTTTAGATTAAACTTCCCTCCCTCTCAATGTGACGTTGACCTTGTAGATTTAGAACTTATTCGATCTTCATTTCTAGGTACATAATATATAGATATCCTTTTAACATTTTTAAGAGAAAGCTATAGTTTCCATATTATGAGACTTTTTGTTTTTAAACATATCATTTGTATGTGTTATTTATTGTACTAACATTAACTATTTCTTTTAATTATTGCACCAAAGAACAGGGTATATGCGAATTCAAAATGTATGATTTTTGAACGCAAGCTCGCTATATTACAAAAAGTAATTTATAATAGTTAGTCTCAGGTTTCAATACAGAATTCCAGTGGAAAATGTGTAAACTAAAATTTTTTGATAATTATAAATATAATATAAAATTGGAATTTGATAGCAAATGTCAAGTTTTGTAAAGACTAACAGGGACTTCTTTCGTCAAAAAGATTTCAACTTATTTTTAAAATCGAGTTTGGTTTTACCAACAGCTTAGGAATACGTAAACTCTAATCAGAGGATGGTAATAGTTTGCATAGAAATGGCTTTTGCAAATTAGCGTCTCTCACCTTCTACCATATAATAAAATCGTGTGGAGAAATCCGCCCCGGCTTCGCTCGGGTGATCTCTAGATGCCGACAACAGCGCCACCTATCATATCAAATTGTAAATCCAAACCATCCAGACTTAAACACAAAAAAATTCATAAGTATCGGTCCAACCGTTCCTTAAGATGATCTTCCATAAATGCTGCAATTGATATTTATCTATATAGATATGACTTATATAACTTACATTGTTAATAAAATTAGATTCTTGCTGTATTTTGTCAAGTCATGTCCTCGGTACCACATATTCAAACCTGCTAACACCTTTTCACTATAACCCTTAGTTTTTTGATGCTCACACATCAGCACATTGTTTGATCATAAAAATTTCAAAGCATTGGTGATTGTAAATAATATAGTTTACATAGTAGTGGCGGTATAGAACATCCACTACCCATATCGACACGTAGACATTGTTAGAGGTGACTTATGGAGACTGAAACAAGAAGTGAACAGCAGCATCTTCCTCATGACAACTTAAAATTATTAAAAAATCTGCGGTTGCCAACCCGCTTGCCAAGTGTGGCAACTATGTCAAATTATAGGCGGGGCCCATTTATTTTATTTTATTATGTGTGAGCAGCTGTGCAAGTCAAGGTAAAGAGACCAGTACCAGTGCCACCTAAAAGATCTATTGTGATCGCTGCTATGGCTATAGTTCACTGCTAAGCCCTATGTCTACAATGAATGGAAGAAGTTGCTTAGCCGTGAGCAATTTCACTTGTTCTGACTGGAGTATATAGTTTCCCAGACGAGTGTTACGTTTGCAAATTAAGGGTCCGCAATCAGTTAGGATGTGCCGAGGCGCTTCTTTCGTTAATGAACAAAACCGGCACATCCTTGAGTTACTCAGTCCCAGGATGGACATGTGCTTTTTAAGGCAACAGTGTCCAGTTAGGGCTCTTGCCAGAATTAGCAATTTATTTTTACATATTCTTCTTCAATCGTCTTCTGAAGCGAATTTACGATAAAAGCCCGGATTAAGGTTTTAAACTGTTTTAAGCCTGGTATGTCAGACCAGATCTTAAGTAATTTACTGTGATAAAGAGTTTCAAGGGTCACTTGGGCTAGGTTTTTTGAGATTCAACAAAATGGACTCAATGGGTCCAAATTGAACCTCTTTGAGCCCTTCCGTGCCAGTTGTCGGCAAATTCGTTGCCTACAATACCCGCGTGACCCGGAACCCATCTTAAAACGACCCTTTTGCTACACCCCAGGGTGTTTAGACGGTTCACGCAGTCTCCAACTAGCTTCGAGTTCAATAAGTTTGACCTCAGTGCTAGCAGTGCTACTTCAGTTTATATACATTTTATGGTTGACGTAGTGCTTTTACAGATTGATTTCCGCACACTGAAGTTAGGCGAGGCCCATGTTCAGCAGTAGAGTTTTTTTAGGTACTTTAAACCACATGAATATTCTGTGGCAATATTGGTACCAAGCATCAAGTGCAAGATCAAAAATTACAGGGTAGTGAAATGACCATTTGTTGCCATTATATTACGAGAAAATTTACCATATTTTGGACACTTAAATATATGAGTATATGACAATGGTAGAAATTAAAATTCTTGACTAAAATTATATAAATATTATGACATTTGTTTACAACAATTTAAAAGACAAACTGCCAAATTAGTAAAATTTTAAGTATTTAAGCACATCTTAAAAAATGTTATAAGCAATAAATTATAATACTAACGTCAAAGAGAAGTAAATAATTTACGGCAAATTATCAGTCAATTATTTACTGAAATATAATTAGTTTCAAACAAGTTAAAAAGCTTGCCGCCATTTATTGCTATTATATTATTATTGCCTTTGCGCTGAACATAGAAACTTACAGACTAAAAGCATTATTTTTATTTGGTTGTTTATTTGTTAAAACAGTTTTAAATGCACATAATATATAAGTTGCTATAATATTATGACTTTGTAAGCAGCGCCAATGAAGAAACGCATTAAAAATAGTTTCATAGCCGCTTGAACACATTGGTTGGAGTCAACAGAAATGTTTCAAATAGGTTTACTATTTTACCGAAGTTAAATTTTTGATCGTAGTTCTTTAACTAACAAGCCAATAGTTGATACTCGCATTCTTGTCTTCCCGTACCTTGGAACTTTTTATGAGTTTTCGTTTCCGTGAGCTCATTTTATGATAACAGAACAAAAGTTATTTAACACAGAAGTCGTACGCGAATGTGAAGACATGAATAATATGAGTCATCATCACCACGTAAAACTCGACGGCTAACCATGACCCTTCTCCTCTTAGGAAGAATCTGCCGTGATGGTCACGCTTGGCAAGATGATTATAGATCGCTCTCCCAAGTCTCGCACTTTTAAATCTGCTGCCCGTCGCCGGTCTAGGTATTTACGCCTGCTACAACTTCGCTGTCTATCGAAATCCATAGTATTTTTGCTGGTATTCGCCATAGCCGCCTCTTACGACGCCCACCTGATAACAGAATATTTTTATACAATATAGATTAAACAAGAATATAAATTAAGCTTAAACACTGGTTCGGAAAAAAATACTCCGTCCTAAGAACCAGCAAGAAACTCAGCGGGACTCCTTTTTTAAACATAATTTATAATATAATATTTTATACAATTAAATGTGAATTATTATTTACAAACAGTATGGTAGCGATCACCACATTCCCAGGGGTTATTATCAATTATGTACTCTTCAGCGGTATAACGACCTTTTTAAGCAGTTTTTGCTTATAAACATTTTGGTAGATAGATCCTGCATATATTCTGGGACTTAATTTTAAAAGTCTTCTTTGGAGTCGAGTAACTGGTATAACTTGTATGTGCTTGAAAATTAGATTATCTTATGCCGCCTCATCTAAACGATATAATATGAGAGTGAGAGGGCGTATTATTTTTGATTCGTTTCTTCATTGTGCGGGTTTAATAAACTATGATATTAGTTAATTTGCATAACTAATAAAAATTGTATTCCAACGAATTATAATTATGTAATTTAATGCAATATTTTATTAATGTAGCGGTTTTCTTTAAACTTTCATCATCTGTAGTCAATTTAAAATTAATTTAGGCTATATATTGTCAGATTCCTTGCGTTTCGTTCCGATTTATGTCGAGATTAGTAACAAAGAGCTGTAATTTATTGAATGGTGATATTTGCTTAGGTTCGCTTATAAATAAAGATGCGTCAAATCAATTTATTCGTTAGATAGGTTTTACCCAAAATTGAGTGATTTTTATTTCTTATGTAATATATTAATTAATATAATTAATTTTAATAAACTTATGTTTTGTATTAAGCATTTTTAGCATTATTTGGCAGTAAACTATGATACTTTAAAGTAAAAAATAAGTTATATCTTAGTTTAAAAAAATCTTATTTTAGCAAACTAGCTTAAAAGCACGCAATTTATATAATGTATTTCTGAGGTTTTGTATATTTTATAATAAGAACAATGACCACGCTTAAATTTTTCCCATATTAACGCACATTGTAAATAAATGAATACAGCGTAGCTTGTGCAATAATTGCCTAGTGTGAAACAACGCATTTTATAATCGAGATGGTTTCCAAATACTTTTTTTTATCTGTTTCCAATTATTGCACAAAGGCATTTTGCAAATACGTCCCCACTACCAATACAAATATTTGGAACTAGAAATGTTTAAATCAAATATTGTATAATTCTTCAAATATTTATTAAGTGTTAATAGTAATTAGAGTGTATTGATTGTTACTACCTATTTAAATAATCTGTTAGTAAATTTTAAAAAAGCTACCTATTTAGTATATTTTTATTTTTACTGGCAATCTCGTTTTAAGTTACATTGGTGCTCTTGTTTTTTTTCTGTGTATTTTCGGTTATAAACATTTAATGTTTGTTTAAAAAGTGTGCCAATAAATTGGCAAAAAATGCAAATGTATAATGTGGTATTTGAAACTTTTGTTACATTGTCAACCATTCCAGGTGTAAAAGTGATCTGTGAAAACTTTTCCCTTCTGTTAATGTTAAGCGTAGACATTTGCGACTGTGTAGTAGATTCCTATTAGTTGTATCCCTGTAGATGTCAAATTAAAAACGTTGGCACGTTACGTTCACGAGTTCTGTCAAACTTGTTTAACGGAAATGAAATGCAACGTGCAGTGAGAAAATTCGTATCGATATAATATTTTAGAAAGTATCCGTAAATATTAATAGATAATAGTGTTTTTGCTGATAGGAATTTTTGTTGCAATTTGGAAGCATTCTAACA